AATTCGTTAACCAGACTCATTGCTCAGCTTTGGTGGTTCAAAAAGAATCGCTCAGCTGTAACACCCTTCCGGTACCCAGCTGCCATGCTACTCGAAGGAAGCACAAGGGTTTGGGATACTGCCAGATTGCCAAGCCTAGACAAGGGAAGCCGGGACGCAGAGGTCGGTTTCGAACCACGGACCTTCCAGTCAGTAAATTCGCGCTTTAACCACTTGAGCCATCTCGCCCACGAGTGTGCTTCATTACTCAATCAACGAAGTTCATTAAAGCCTCCATTTGTATGCGAACTCGTGTGAATGGAAAGTGATCCGTCATTTGCCAAATTTCGATCACCGTTATGCGACGAACCATGCACCTCCGTGACCTATCGAGCCGTACTGGGAGGTGTTCGTTCGGCATTCTAACTTTCGGTTGCCCAGTAGGAACTTCCATTAAAGAATATGCCCGTCATCAGAAGCTGCGTTGGTCTGGCTAGGTATTGTGCATGCCGAACCATCGTTTTTCAAAGAGAGTGCTGTTTTCTGTGCCCAGTTCACACTGCCGAAAGCAGAGAGGTGGCCAGTTCTTGACCTGGCAGAGGGGTATGAGAGGGATTAAGAAACCTTTGGGTGCTGTCGGTGGAGGTGGGGACCGCATGATCCCCACTGCGCCTGGTCGGAGATGCTGCAAGATATGCCCGCTTATCGATGTCAGTAGCATTCGTGTTGTCAGTTTCTATCCAGATTGCCTGGATGAGTGTCTGAAGGTGCAGGCACCTCGGAATGATTTTAGTCGTTCAGCTGTATCACCTTTTCGATGCCTAACTGCCATGCCACCCGAAGGTTGCACAAGTGCTGGGATAATGTCAGGTTGCCAAAGCCTAGACAGGGGAAGTTGAGAGTTAGAGGTCGGGTTTGAACCACGGACCTTCCGGTCAGTGAATTGGCGCTCTAACCACATGGGCCATCTCGCCATCCATCTTTATTATTTTCTTCACAAATAACTCATGGTTGTACTGCAGTGAAGCATCACTGTTGAGCGCTGATGTCACGCTGTCCACAATGATGTTGGTGACTCACACTCTCGTGCCAGGTTTGTTAATAGTTAGCAGTCTGGTCACCACACTCTGTTGGTCGTCCAGATTGGTGGTTGCAATGTGGTGGAGACTTTTAAAATGTGTTATTTACTTGCTGTTCCCGCCAAATGTCACTGCTTGCATTGACAACTGATTGAAGACAATAAAGCAGCATTCTGGAGGGGTGTTATTTGATATATCATGATTAAACATATCCACAATTCAACGCTTTTGCAACGAAAACCATTTGTGAGTGAGTCCGATTTTCTTACCGGCAGATTGAACACCGTTAGCGAACTAGCGTAAAACCTCAAGTTAGTATCATCTGTTCATGCAGATTATGCGAGGAGATCGTGTTTCTTGCCTAATTATTGCTTGGCTGGAGTCTTCAGAGTGGGAAAGAACCCGAAGCGGCCGACTAAAATATTACAGGGCTTTCATGTTTCCAAGTAAGAGGGAAGATTGCGATACCTACCAGAAACTGGGTGAACCTGCTTTGGATTCGTTTTTTTGTTATCTGACATCCATAGGAATCGCAAATGGAGATAACCACTCATCGCTGGGTCTCAGCTGCACTGCAAGCTTCAAAATCTCGTGGCTTTGTGATTTTCACGGGCAGTGTGACTTTTTGTTCTGAGTTTGCCGTCTGTCTTCCGATACACAGTTTCGCGCTACAAATACATGTTTACCAACAAACTGTACTGTACGCAGTACAGTGCTATCAATTGCTCTCAATCGCTTCCTACTGTTTTGTTTTCTACAGGTTATCCACTCCATGCTCCAGAAGTGTATATCCCGTATTTTCGGAAGCACAACGTCTCCACCATCATTCGACTAAACAGGAAGGTGTACGATTCACGGCGATTCACCGATGCAGGATTCGATCATTTCGATTTATTTTTCGCTGACGGGAGCTATCCACCGGATGATATTATGTTACGATTCCTTCAGATTTGTGAACAGGCTCCGGGAGCAGTTGCCGTGCACTGCAAAGGTTAGTGTGAGAATGGTTTGCCCGCACTGTCATCGCATATTCTAATGCAAAGATCAGAGTTTTGCTTGGTTCGCCACTTTTCCCAATATTTTTGTGTAGTGCAGCAGATTCAAAACCTTTCCACCACTTACTTCATTGCGTATTATCAGCCGTGCACATCTCAAGAAACTACAGGGAGTTTCGAACCCGCGACCTCCTTGTTTCTAGCTGAACACGGCCGTTTGGCAACGAGTGGCTGATCAGCATTGTGGTTAAGTCGCATTTGAAGGAACGTTCCTCAGTTTTGTGTGCTAAAGATTCCACTCCGGGCGCCCGAAGGTTTGTTTGCATAAACGTGACTCAACTCGAATAATTTATCAGCGATTGGGAAGCGATTGGATATGAATACATATCCAACACATTTTGTTAGCGACTGCGGCTCACCATTGTTGTAATTGTTCTGTTTGTTTCGAGAACAGTACTGGTTTTGATGTAGCGAGTCCGAGTTGTTGACATGTGGTTCCCCTTATCAGTAACTAAACCTCCACAGCATGGAAGCGGACAGGGTTGTCTTACAGTGACAGACAAGGAAACCGGTCTTCGATAATCGAGACTATTTAGCACACCTAATGGTTTTAAACAACGCATTTATAAGATTTGGTTACGGCAACGAGCAGCCTGATAAGTGAATAACCGTTGAATTTTTTTTGCTGAGCTGGACATTCCGGTTCAAATGGTTTCGTCACCGGTCGAGGTGACATCATCAGTGCATTGTGAGTGGAAGTACTTATCACTCGCCCAACTCCTACTCACAACGCACTGATGACAAGGCTTTTTAAACTAAGTACGAAATTCCGCGAACAAATTGGCGGATATGATGACAACCTGAATTACGAATATTCTTTCCTGCCACTCAGTTTTTCATCTGAAGCTTTCATAGCATCATAGGGAGAATTCAGTCGCTCTTAATCTTCGAGGTGACTCAACTCGCGGAGGCGTTTGTTTGACCACAATTTTTCCATGCAACATAAGTTATTCCGTTGCGTTTACATCATCAAATGCTGCGGACCCTATCCATCATCAGGTGAATACGACTGCTTCTGATCATGTCGCATCGTCTGTGAAGAAACCAAACATATTCTTATATCTATTGTATCGTCGAAAAGACAGCGGTTTCGGTCTAACACGGCACCGTGCAATTTTGCAAAATGTGATGAAATTTTGAATGCATTTCGAATGAAGAAAAGTCACATAGGATGACTGTATGGAAAAGGAGCATTCAACGCCAGTGGGCCCGCCGTCATGAAAATGGTTGAACTAAGACGACCAAATCCTGTGGAAGGTGCTTGTTAGTGGTGTTACAATCAATTAATCAGTTTATCAGCTATGAACTGTGCGCCATAGGCACATTGGTTCCAGCTGCTACAGTTTCGATCACCGGAAAACAGGAAAGTGAAACATATAACCAAGCCTTGGAGGTGAAGGCATGTTCATTTTTTAAATTGGGTAGCTACGCATTGAAGGCAATGGTTTCAATGCAGGAGCGCCACTGACTGCGCGATTGAGCCGTTTCCTCCAATGTCAATAACCAATAATGGTGATTTGAGTCACGGGAGGCGGCAGTTGCCCGCCCGACTTAGTTCACTGGTTAGTATTTGCGTACTTCGTCATGCCGTGCACCCACATTTGTTGCGACGATTATTAGTTGAAACCTGTGCACACACCGCCGAATCTCCCGCACATCCACTGATTTCGTTGACTGGATTGTGGATGGGGTCAGTGAAGGTATAGTACGTTGGCGTATGCTACACTCATAGTCCTCTGGCGAACGCTGAATAATGGAGACGATTTGCACTGAATGTGGGAAGCATTTTCATACAATACCACAAGCCGTGGAAAGTGAGAGTCCCAGTATAGCGGATTCATACGGATTGTTACTTTTCGTGGACAGGTGCATGCTGGACATTTCTACCTGGTTATGGGCGATACGAGAGCTTGGAGAAGTGGGCATCGGTGATTGTCTCGCACTTTTTTGTTTTCAGCGCTGGTAGTCCACTCCACTGGTAGTCCAGACAAACGAGTTTATTTTTCTCGTAAGAATGCCGCTTTCCTACGTCAAGCTTTGCAATCGTTTTTAGAAATTGAGCTCAATACGCTTAGGAATTCCACCAGATCTAACACTTCATTCATTTCAGCCATGCAGGTTGGTATTGACTTTTGTAACCACCGCTCGCATATATACAGTCTATCGAATCGAGGACAAGATTAATCTGATGGGTTCTGTAAACAGTTCACTGATTCGGACTTAACAAATAGCTAAAGTCTTTAGTTAGGCGAGCGTTTCGTGGTTCGTCCAAAACTCTGGCTTCCTGCCTTACCCGTCTAAGCTTCGGAAATCTGACAGTATTTTAGCCTTCATGCTTCTTTGACTAGCATGGGAACGGTGCACCGAAAGTGCAGTCACTGAGTTTTTTTTAACTTGAACGCGAAGTTGCTCATTTCCAGCTGATGTGTGTCCCGTCTGTCACGCAATCGTACACTTTGATAGACTACCTCTACACTACTCGACAAGTTTGGGCACAATATCCTCACCGTACAACTGACGTTTGTTACACTGTCCCAAGTAATGCAACTTCCGCTTCAGCTAGACTGCCACATCTGGATAACAGAACAATGACTATGCTTATCACGTTTCGACGTTTAAAATTAGTATTTCAAGCTGTGGCATGTGATGCTTCCCACCAATCTTCACTTTCTAGCAACATGCTCCACTGTGGTTGGCTGTCTGCTTTTTGAAGGCCAGTCTTATACACGGTCGTCCTGTTTTTCCCTGTGTTCAACGCACCACACGTGCATCGCACAGTAGTCTCTTTTATATGGTCCGTGACACTTCGCTCTGTTTATATTGTTCCTCTGCTTGTTTGTGTCCACACAAACTCAGTATCTCTCGTTCTCCCATACATGCTTTCCTACCCTTGAAACGCATACTTTAAGTAGAAAATGAATAATTTGACGTCCACCTAAATCCACCAGAATGCCAATTTTTCAAGTTTTTTTTTATTTGACGGGGAATCATTACGGACCCAAGGATTTGCAGTTCTTGGATGTCTCTGTTACTTTTGTTTTCTCTCTACTTTGGCTGCCCCAGTCCCTAATCTCGCTTCTATCGGAAATCTGTGGTAGAATAGTCAGGGTTATTAATTTCACATGTGTGCACAAAGCTAAGTCCACAGAATCATGTCCACCAATCCGTACTATCCTTCTATCAGTTTGATCTCGCAGAGTAGATTTTGGTTCTTCATGTGTGGAGAGTCCGCTTGCAAGTCGGCTGGCGTGGTAAGTCAGGGAACGTTTGACGAACTACCCATGGAGAACGCGAAGAGTACTGCTATATCACGCAATTCTGCTGGTCGGTTTTCTGTCCACGAATTTCCTCAAGAATTAATGGGAATTCAGAAGGGAGCGTACGAAGAATCGTATAAAAAAGCAACAACTTGAAATGCGCGAATGTATAGAAGGGCGTCAAATTCGGAGCGTTAGTGTAGTACAGATTCAACAATTACCGCGGGATGATTTTGAGAAGCAGTGGTCAGTTCCAAGTCAGTTTTTAGGCTGTAGTATCGTCCGCCATGTTTACGGACGTGGCCGTCTTTTGTTTCTGAAGGCAAAACTTGCAATTGGATCTGGTACAACCAACGCCACCAAAATGCTAGCCGCGTTCAAAAAAGAGGTTAACTGATTGAGATGGTGCTCTGTACACGGGAATTACCGGACTGCTTTTCCCTCTAGATAACTCGAATTATAAGTACTTTCGTCGTCCGATTCCCATTTGTTTCACCCCTGCCAAACAAGCATGTGTTGCAACATCCAGTAGTTTCACAGCTAGATGAGCTTGGGCAAGTGGGAAATCCTGACAGTTCAGCTCGAAGTTCTTGTCACTACGTGTTCTTCGATCCTGGATTACATATGTATTTCAATCAGTTAGCGGCCTTCCTGATGTTCATATGATTCTGGGCATGCTGCGCACTTGCATACAAATTGGGAGATCTCTATATCGCCGCGTACTACTTCCCTGGTTATTTACTGATCTCAACGCGCGGAATTCACAGAAGCCCGCCGGTTAGACCGCGGACCGGTCCAAGATTAGTAACGAGGAAACTAATTAGGAAAACTCCACTCTGACGCGTCCTGTACTTACTCCAACATCTTTGTGAGCGCAAGTGATGATGGGATTATGATACTTTAGCCAAAACTTGCTTCTAATTAGTATCCACCGATGAAACCTTCAAGAAGGAAGCCAATGCGAAAGAAGCTACCAAAGAAAAACATGGTTTTCACTAGGTTACATAAGTAGTCGAGTAGGTTGTCCTCATTCGCATTCCAGAACGTTCTATTTCCGAGCACACCGTTTTAGCTCCACTATTTCTCCCTGGATTTACAAATGCAAGTAAATACCTGCAGGTGATACCAAACTTTCTCCTGAACGACCGCTGGATCTCCTCCGTCCCCTTCACCTATTTGACGGGAAGTCCTTGGATTCCTTCAGAGACAGATCGTAGTCACCTGCAATGGGTGGGACGCGTAGACACCAGTTCATCGATAAGATCTACATCTGCACGTTTGTTATCGGAGTCTGTCATTACAAAAAGTGTCAAGTGTCTGATGATTTGTACTGTGTTCTTTTATCTTGTTGTCTAGCACTACCAGTTTGTTGTAGATGCTCTGTTTACACTACCGAGTAACAAAATCATATCCGAACCATAAAAGTGGCAATCCGGACGACGTAGGAAGTGCTAGAAACATCAGCTGTTTATCTGACTGTCGATTTTTGAAACGCCTACAATAGCAATGTGCATAGCCCGTGTGATATTTTCTCCCGGGGCATGATTTTGGCAGTCCTGTAATCAGAGTGTTTTTGTCCTAACATGTGAAATAATACTAGGAAGATTTGGCAGCCAACGCATCGACCAGCTTAGTGGTTGCAGCTATTCTGGGATTGTGCATACGTCCAAAGCCTCACCTTTTTTACGTAATATCGCTGGGATTTTTTCGTTTTTCATACTTTATCCATCTTGACCTATGGGAATTATGCTTTGCCATTTCGCTATATGTTACTGTGTTTTAAATATTTTTACACCGACGCACTCTAGCGAGGCACGCTGCCTCGATGAAATACCCTGAGGGATACTAGATATTTTTCTCCACGGAACCGTTTCCACGAGAAAAATCGTTCAGCTGTGGCACCCTTTCGGTCCCTAACTGCCATGCCACCCAAAGGAACCACGAGGGCTTGGATACTGCCAAGTTGCCCAAGCCCAGACAGGGGAAGTCGAGAGGCAGAGGTGGGGTTCGAACCACTAACCCCTAAGTTCACTCGCCCCCCTTTGGGAAATTGACGTATTCACAAACTACCATCGTCATCGTTAGCAATCCTTTCGGGAACATCCAGTGCTATGTGAATGTTGGTCACATGTCTGTCATAGTTTTCCAAGGTAAATGTCAAATTTAACTTCATGTGATTGGAACCAAGCCGTTCCCCGCTGACGTTTTACTTTGTCCGTTGGTGCTGGCCATATTTGTGCGTGGCGAACAACACTCAAGTAGGAGCTATTGCGCCATGCTTTACTGCCTTCATTTTGTTAAAATACCTGAATTTGTTCCACCCGCTGATATTCTGAGTGCCAATTTTACAGTAATCAACCGTGTAACTTGTGACAGTCCATCTACAGGAAAGACTCCACGTGACCTAACTATGCCACTTTTCTGAGCTTATCCAGCTGCGCTTTTGCGCCTTCGCCAACTGGTAATGGCGTTGGGTATAGTTTCAACAGTAATTCTACGGACTTTGTGGGTTGAAAAAAAACGTCAGTCTGCTGTTAGTCAAGCCCTTCAGTTCTCTTGGGTATCAACCATGGTGCGTGTTTGTTGAATGAAGCAGAGGTATAGAGAAATTGCAGCGCTGTTGTGTAAGTAGCTGAAGCTGACTCATCCGCGTTGTGTTATATTGGCAAGTGGTATCTAAATGTGAAAAGTCTTTTTTGCGTGTGAATCTACCAGTACGAATAGCCGATTTTATCGGTTGCGAAAACTCCGTTGACCGTAAGCTTAGGGAAATTAAGTGTCACGGTAATATGACAGTCATGGTTGTGGCTTATTTATGTGTCTCGAGTACCTTCACGTGACCACGCCGCATATCACTCCGATTGCTTACGTCACCAGCGTGTGCAGTCAGCCAGTTCGCGTTGTATTTTTCAGCAGACAGTCACAAACCAATTCACCGATTCTACCAATCAGTGAACAAGAGGCACCTCACGCATATAGGGAAGCGTGGTGCATCGGTATCCAAACGAGAGCGTGAGCGTCGTTTGGTTGTGGTATTAGCGATTTGATCCACTGGTCTATATCGGTTAGGGACGAATCCAGTATTATTTTGGTATATCATCATTGCGAGGTATTCCGATCGTCTGATTCGTACTGCACCGAGCTCAGGCAAACAGACTGACACAAGTGTATAACAATTTTGTTGTGCAGGTAGTTTTGAATTGGAAGTACTTTTGCATAACCGTAGTGTTGGCTGACTTATCTCTGCGGTGGAGTCTCAACATCCACCGGTTCCATCTTCAGACGGTTCTTCCGAAAAGTATTCAGAGAAACCAAACAGACTGACATAAGAGCAACCATATCAGTATCTCGTGATTCAAGTGTGCACAAATTTTGATACCCCTGTGTCAGATGAGAATCGCTTTAACAATAGTTTTTGCTATACCTTCAGGGTTATTGGTCGTCAAATAAATGGCATACTTCGATCATTAGACACTCGTCATGTCCTCCCGTTTCTAGCTGGGGATGTCGCCCACAAACGAAGAGGTCAAGCTTAAAGTTGTGCCAAATTATGACAACCTCAGATGTTTTGTTACCGCCTCCGTAATTAAAAACTTAAAACTGTTAAGATAGACTTACTGTTCCGATCTTGCCGACCGAAAATAGCCATGACTGGAGGCACGGAAACCAAAACTGAATCGACCCCCCTGTAGTTGTATCATCACTCGGGGTTTCGAAACGATTCCAGCGACTAGGACGCACGGCTGACCAATCGGCTCTTTTATGTCCAGGTGGTGATCACTCGTTGACGGAAGGTATCGTCATAACGCAGAACAGATGAAAAGACGTATGTAGCAAGTAGCTATAATGCATTTATCCAGTATATCGGGTTGTCACGCCCTGCCTGCGCGTAAGCTTGACTGTTACAAAATCCGTGTAAATCCGGACGTTCCTGTTGTGTCTTGAAGTACGGTAGTGCAACTCTCTATCGGTCCCTTGGCTTCCTGCTCCGCCCACTATGGTATATCAAAAGGCACGGTAGCTCTACACAGCCCTTTATGGAGACAAAGGAAAATTAGTACAACTGTATTTATAGGGTAATCACAGTGTGTTCCACAAGGTCGTGCCAGAATCTCCGTGAGGGGGCGAGAGGCGTCGAGTCACAGGTGCTCGACTCGGATTGGCTGACATTCTGACCAATCAGGGCATGCCCTCGTTTGGCCCGTGTTCTGCACGTGACACATCCATCCAAATAATGTGCTGTTTGGTTATTAGGGACGGCTGGCCCCCGAACACCTCCCCCTTGAGAAGGCTGTTCAACCGACTGCTGCTTTGGACTCCACTGTGACAACTCCTGGAGTTGCTGTCGCATTTCCATCTGTCGCTGAGTCTGTGTGCATGCCGATCTGGGATCTGGTACCCTCCACTTGGGAGGTACATCATGGGTGTCTACCTCCACTTGGGAGGTACATCATGGCTGTCTAGTTCCATGCCACTTGGTCCCCTCACTGAGCCGCGGTTTGTTGCCTGACGTTAGTTCGCATGACGCGGCTGTGCCGATGATCTTACGTGTGCCTCGTGTTTGACATCGTCGACCCTGCGTCCACCGTGGGGAGCATTCCCCATATATTTGAATCAGTGGCTGGTCTCTGTGTGACTGTTGTGGCGTTCCTCCTGCCGGCCCCCCTTCCTTGACTCTCAGGATAGCAGTAGAACGATCCACCTGAAGCTGCGACTGTAAACTGGAGGGTTCAGACCGCGGGTGAAACGTTGCGGCTGCTTGCAGGATTCACTAAATTGCAATTTGGTGAGGGGGCTACCGCTGCCGGACGCCAGAAGCTGAATAGTCGCTGTGTCGCGTATGTTCCATCTGGTCTTCGGTTTGGCTATAACTGTGGCGACCACAAAATCGTCAGGACGTGATGTTATCGTGAGCGTATCGGGGCCATTTGCAGTTGTTTCGTCACAAACGGCATTGAGGGGTTCATCCAACAGTTGAAGCTCATTAATCCAATCCAGGCCCAAGAGATCAAGGCCTGTGTAGTTCGTGAGGTAACAAGTGCCACTGAGATGAATTCCCTTGAACGTTACGGAACAGTTCAGCTTCCCGGTCAGTTTGAGGCTTCCACCAGATGCATTACGAACGATGCACTTTGTGGGTTCCACTGGTGGCCTTCCAATTTCGTTCCAGGTTCGTTTTGAAATCAGAGTGAGGTCAGAACCTGTATCCAGTTGGAGAGTAACTGGTGTGCCATTGATACATAATGTGACAAATTTACGTCGACCAGGTGATTTCATCCTGAATGTGGCGGTCACAGCCTCTGCCTGCGTCCTTTTGTCGGGTCGGTGTTTGCGCGAGCTCCTGAAGTTGTCTCTGCAGAATTCTTCTTTGTGGCCCTTTCGACTGCACTTATTGCACCTCTGGTTCCGGTAGGGACAGTGGCGTGAATAGTGTCATTCTTCACAAAACCAACAGGGTGTGGGCGGTTTTCTTGGAGTTCGTTTTGAACTTGACTTCCTTTTGGAAGTTACTTTGCATACCATATCCGGCTGAGATAATTTGGAATGTCCAATCATGGCAGCATCAGCCTTGAGATTGATAAGATGCTGGCATTCGGTGGTAAGTTTCTGAAGCGTCAACTCTGGATCCTGTTCAATTCGATTCAGTAGCCGGGTCCGAATATCTGCATCGTGTGGTGATTGAAGACCAGCCACAAAGATGAGACACTTGAATTGATCCTCGGTCATGGAGCTGAGCTGAAAGCGCTCGCATTCTCTGTTGACCACACCGGCATATGTGATGAAATCCTCAGTATCCCTTTTGGTAATCTTGAGACACTGATAACGAATATTGAACAAGGAACTTTGCTCACCGAATATTTGGGCCAGAATTTTGACAGCATCTGCGAAACCAAGGTCACGAGGGAGTTTGGGGAGAATGAAATTTGTGAACCGATCGTGTTCAGCTGTCCCTAGTTTCCGCAACAACAGTCGAACTTTCCATGCGTCATCAAACTGAGCAAAGTGGGCTTGAAACATGTCTTCATATTTCTTGAACCAACTTTCGAAAGTTCGTCCAGATTCAGCATCAAAATTGAATTCAGTAATCGAGCTGGCAGCATCATTTGCGGATGAAGACGGAGGCTCGAACGTTTTTGTGGCGTTCACGGACATCATGCGCATCACAGATCCAACAAGCCTTATTTGTGCTTCTTCGAACTGCTTCTGTTGCTGTAAAATTAATTGGAGTTGCTCTGCCGAAATTGACATCGTGGGTTCGGGTTGTCACCAGTTGTTGTAGCTTGCTGAACTGTATTTATAGGGTAGTCACAGTGCGTTCCACAAGGTCGTGCCAGAATCTCCGTGAGGGGGCGAGAAGCGTCGAGTCACAGGTGCTTGACTCAGATTGGCTGACATTCTGACCAGTCAGGGCATGCCTTCGTTTGGCCCGTGTTCTGCACGTGACACATCCATCCAAATAATGTGCTGTTTGGTTATTAGGGACGGCTAGCCCCCGAACAGTTCCCACATGTCGCTGAGTGATCACTATCGTATGCTCACGTTATATCACTAGTCGTTTCAACAGTATTGTCGGTTTTTGTCACTCATGAGCATTCTCCGAATAGTGTGTAATACCAGAATTTCAGAACTTTTGTGATAAAATGAAAATTTTTCAGAAGCCACTGATGTGCGATGGATTCTTCGTCAGCTCGGGTTTCCGACTTCTACCAATGAAGACACCCGTGAGATTCAAATGGTGATATTTATACTTCCATCAGCTGGCCTCAATTGTCCAGACTGTATGACTTCAGCGCTTCTGATGCTGACAGGACACCATCTGATAAAATCGAATAAGCCCGGTCTTCTATGTGGTGACAGCCCGTGTTCAGCCTCTCAGATGAGGAACAGCAGAGATCTTTTGTAATTGCATTTCAACGGCTGTACAGTTGAGTTCCAGGTAGTCCGAACGAATATTGGAAAGTGTCTTTGATGCTTTCTGTGCTCCCGTACTATCCAGAGGGATGGTAAACTCTCTCACCGCTAGATCGTGCTCTCAGTAAGAGTGGATGAACCATCCAGAGACAAGGCGATATTCATCCATGCATTTTCAGAGTGCTAATCCTCCACTGACACTGCGTGGGTCCCAATAAAGCGCTAGTTGATAATTTTGAACCTCCCTGGTGAGAATTTCCA